TATATAATTTCTATATACTTAGCTTATTTTTATCTTTTGAAAAGATGAAATTCAGCACACTTTTTAAAATCGACTAGTACCAATCTATGCAATAATTTAATTATATAAATTATAAACATTTTCTGCGCATTTGATTACATTGATTTCAAACATCATAATATTGTAAGTACTTACATATTTGAATGAATTGGCTGTGACTTGTATTTAATTTCGGATGAATTCAAACATTTCTACAAATTATTATATATAATATATATTGTTTATTGTTATACATGTATTTATATGTGAAGAAAAAATAGCTACTTACATATGTTGCTTTATTTCTGTAAAATATAATAGAATAAAGAGTAATAAAGCTGCTTAAAATTTCATATCGTATGGGTAACATAGCACTAATATAAATAAGTTATATGTATATATAACATATATGTGTTATATATACATGTACATTACATCGCATTTATTTCTAAACATGAAATATTTCTATTGTCTTAATGTTTAGAATCGATTTTTCAAAAATGTTTCACATTATTGTATTGTTATTACTTATATACAATATATGTAAAATATATGTATATTTAAACCAATATATAATTGCTATTTTTTAAAAATTTTTAATCACTAAATATATAATCTTTGAATTTGCTTTCTACTTTTTATTTTTAAAAAATCAATTCATTTAAATTATTTCATATATTACTATTTTAAGACATTTTTTTATTGAAATTATGAATTGAATAATATTTAATTTTCTTTTTGCATTTTATGATTCATTATATTAATAATTATATTTAATGTCTCATTAAAATATCAATTCAAGATATTATTTTTTTAATCTATATATAAATATATATAATAAAGCATAATGTAAATTGCTTGTGATATAGTATCTGTTAAATATTTTTTTATTTAAAAAAATTTCTAATATATTAAATAAAATTATCTATTTAAAGATTTATTTAAAATTATTTCATATTTATTAATACATATATATCTATATATAGTATAATAAGAAATATGTATCATATATTTTTAGCATATAAATTCTATATCTTAATATATATGTATAAGAAATAATGACTGAAAATTTTTGGTTTTATTTATTTATATTTTTTTTTAATTTTATGTTTGGATATTTATAATAAAATATATATATATATATTAATGAAATTTAAAACAAACTTATATTATTTGTTCAATTTTCAATTTTTATAGATGATAAATACAAAAAAATTTAAAAACTTTAATAATTTTAAATATATTTTAGAATATAATAATAATTTTTTTAATAATATTTGTCTATTGAATTTGTATTCCAAGAAAAATTTAATTCATTTTAATTCGTTTATTAATGATTTATAAAAAAAAATCATATTGAAAAATTTTATTGCAGTATATATACAAAATGATATACAATATTTTATTTGCAGTATATATACAAAATGAAAAATATTAGTATTAAAGTATTATTGCAATAAATAATGCGATATGAATAACAGCTTATTATATATAATAAAAAAAAAAAACTGTAACTTTAAATAAAACTTTTATACATAATATAATTGTTTTGATTTGGTCATTTTATAATTCATTAGTTCTCCATATTAGAATTTGTTTCTTTTACAAAAAAATCATTTATATAAATGTATCATCTTTTAAAAAAAGAAAGGAAAGATTTTTTAAAAGATAATAAAATTATTTCAGAAAAGATAAAGAAAAACATGTTATTCAAGAAGATGTAATATAAAAAAAATACAGAAGATACCAGATATGATATTCAAGATTGTTTTATTAAATTATGAGACACAGTAACTTCAATTTTAATGATATTACTAGTTTTATCAATTTATTTCATTAGATGTTTAAAAATTCGATAGAAATATTTCGAATGATGTTTGAAATCAAAGTGAGAAAAAAAAACGCCATTGTTAGACAATGTTAGCCAGATCCACAATGAATAACGACCTTGTCTGTATTGCGACGATAATCTGGATTGTTTTAGATGCGTGAGAATTACCTATCAGAATAACTCGCTAGTGGAGTGGTATAATGGTAGTCCGATTTCGAGCCAATCGGAGACGAGATGGAAATCAATGTAATTATAGAAGAACCAACGAGAATTCGTTGAAGACGCGCATGCGCATATCCAGTTTCACATCGAGCTATCTCTAATTTCCTTTGCGTGATTTCTATTGACAACATTATGATTATTGCAAATACGATTTTATTTGATAATTATATATAATCATTGAAATATATATATTTATATACAGTATTATTTTTCCAGAACTAATTACATTCAAACAAAATAATCTACATTAACGAAATAATAAAATTAAAAATATATTCATACATTATATTATTATTTATATCATTTATTTTACTATTATATTATTAATTTCATAATTTTATTTGTTGCATGATATTATATCTATATTTTAAATAAAAATAATATAATAAATAGGAATAGAATATTATAATAGTATATCAATCTTTTTTTTAAAAACCATAGAATTTAAAGTTATATTTTTAATTCGTCAATTTGAATATTTTTACGAAAAAGTTTAAATATTATCCATTTTGAAATATATAAAGCAAAATATATAATTTGAAGTTCGCTTCGATAATATTGTAATTAATTATCATTGATATCATATGATTGTTATAATTATCTAGTTATAATAACAATTTCTATTATAAATTATATAAAATATATTTAAAAACATTTAAATAATTATTTTATAATAAAATAAAAAATAATATAATTAAAATATATTTAATTTTAGATTCAATTTTATAAAAAGATATTTATAACAATATAATAAATATAATAAATTTAATTAAAATTCTTATTTTATTACATTGATTGAATGATTATCGTTCTTTTATTAATTATCAATCAATTTTTTAATTAATCAATCAATTAAATTTAAAATAAAAAACAATTTTATTTTTACAATAAATATCGGTTAAAATTTTTATATTGCTAATCTATTATTTAAAAATAAAATAAAAAATATACTATAATATTATTTATAATATAATATAATATATAATATAATATTATTTATAATACAAATAATAATATCTTCATAAAATTATTCTGAATTTCTAAATTTTTTTTTTTTTTTTATATAGAAAGAATAACGTAAAAATTGATGAAACCAGTGATACGTAATTTAAAATAAGGATAATAACAAAAATTGAACCAATGATACGTGATAAGAATCCGTAAATCTTCCCCTAGGGGTTGAAATCTTCGATTGATGAATGAGAAAAGAATTCCTGCATAGATTGTTCAATGTGCAGTTAGCCGTGAATGTACGAGATATTGCGAGATTAATATTTCATACTTTTCAGAATCATTCATGTTTAATGAAAATGTTTATTTACCAAAAATTTATTACGGTAAAATCACATATTATGTAAAATATATGTGAAACATATTTCATATTATGTGAAAACATATACAATAGTTATGACGTATAATTTTAATATTTTCTTTTAATTTAATTCACTTTATTCACTAAACTTTTTAAATTATACATTTCTATTTCTATTTTTACCTCTAACAACTGTAAAGATGAAAAATTATAAATGCATATTTTTTAAAAAATAAGAAGATTATTTACAAGAAATTACAAGAAACAATAAATATTTATATAGCAATACTTTTTTTTAACTTTCCAATAACATATATGTTTTCTTAATGATATTAATGATCAAAAAATTAACAAGTTGCAAGTGATTAGATTATTCCTAATATTCCTTTACAATTATTCATCAAGTCGAATAATCAGACGGTTTTTGCATATAAAGAAAAAAATCGGTTCTTTAAACGATATTCTAAAAGACACTTTCAGTATTTTGCAAATAAATAAAAGTCATTCGAAAAAAAGTAAAATAATAAAAAGGATAGGAATAGGAATTCTAACTTATTAGAATACATTGCATATAAGTTGCACGAAATTTTATAAATAATAGAATATTTAAATACATACAAGTATGATAAAAAATGAAATCGTGAGAATTGTAGTAATGAAAACATCAATATTAGAAGGAATTTAAGATATTAGTAGCTTCAATCTAAAACTGTTTAACTGTCATTCATGCTCGTTAATGCGTATCTGAATTTCACGGTGCAATCATAAATAATAAAGTCTGTTTGAAATGTTTCTCATCCACTGGCCACAAACATCTGCAGGTGCTCTTTCGCAAAGGGGCGTTACAACGATGACAGCGAAATTATCTGAAACCGAAGGGATGGGGGTGGTACATCCACGCATAGTGGGGAACATTGATAGGGGTAGGGAGATACGAGAGAGCACCCCGAGCATCCCTTCTCTCTATTTTCATACTAACCATGAAGCGAGAGAATGGACATTGGAGGCAAACTGACTCAGATACGTGTGCAACCTCGTACCGAGTCATTCAGTGGTCTACTTTGAGGTATTTTACACTCAAGTGTCGTTCCAAGTGTTCCGGCAATATCATCCTAACTAATTTTACTCGTTCACGTGAATGATATCTGTATTTATGTACATATATGTACATACACTTGCGCGTGCGCGCAAACGTGTACTTTCATAATAAGTTTTCGCATAATTATTCTATTATTTTTAAATGCGTAAAGTTTGATTCTAAGGTATAACGTCGAAAATAGATGTGCAATTACGTGAATTTGACAAATTTGTTTGCCACGCCTAGGATAGGGAGATTTAAAGTGAGCAGGACTAAAATTTTTGATTAAAAAGTTTTTTGCAAATTTTGATTTTCGATAAAAACGAAAAAGTTTCGTGCAAAATGGCAAATTTAACAACGTCGATCGGGTTAATGGGATATGAGAATAAAACGAAAAACTCAATGCAGAGAATAAAGATGATAATCGTTTAATACGATTTCGTAAAAGTTTCGAAACTTTTTTTTTTTATAATTTGGATATACTTTTTTGTTTTATCCTCGAAGAAATATCCATAACGGTAGAATTTGATCGAAGCTAAATGTCGACGAAAGCAGAAGGTCCATCATCTCCACGACAATTCTTTGCCCGAATTTATGGACATCTTGAAGCGAAAAAAGTTGATGGTATCGAGAAAAATGATGAGAACAGGACTGAACCGAAATCAAGTTTTGAACTTTCCTCGAATATTCTTCTTTACAATAGAAATACGTTAGATGCGGATAATTCGTGCAATTCTTCGAACGATGAAGTTATACAAGTAAGAAGTAGTTTCTTGTTTCTTACTTGTTATTGTTGTGATGTTGGACTTTTAATTCATAGAAAGTATCAAATTTATAGTCGTTACTATTGATTAATATTTTTAATAATTATTTTCTTTTTTTCTTCTCTTTCTCTTTCAAATATGTACGTGAATAATTTTGACGAAATTATTTCCATATTGATTTCAAAATATATGGATCATATTACTTAATGACAACTATCAACATTTATTTTATAATATACAATCACTCTCAAAAGTTTCCATATATAATATATACGAAAATCATTTGCATTAAAATAAAATTCTACGAAATTTCATTGTTAATATGCATACATTTTATAGCATATTTTATAATTGGCTACTTTTGAAATGAAGATAACATAAAAGAAAATAAATAAATAAATTAGAAAATTATTTATTTTATTTGAGAAATAATTTATTTTTAAATGTTTGATTGATAATAGAAAATAAAATATAACAAATAATAAAGTTTTTCATAACTTTATTTTATTATCAAATTATCAAAAGAAATGATATAAAAAAGAAATATATTTAGATCATTTAGATAAAAAAAAATGGTTTTGGCAGAAATAGAAATTCTACTAAATTCTACTAAATCTATTACAAAAGATCAATATTTATCTTTCAATTATTATATTATTATTCAAATAATATCATTTAATATACAAATAAAAAATATAAAAACATAAAAATATATATTATGTAATAAAACAAATAAAAAATAAAATATAAAATTTTTTTGAATAATTATTTAAATAACGCGCAATTCAATTTTATGTTAAAAAATAAATATATGGTTTATTTTAATAAAAAAAAATTGTTACGGAATGTATGAAAACTTTTAATGGGTTGTTATAAGAATTTCGCTTAAATATTTCGTCAAATATTTCTCTAAAGAAAATATTGATAAATTGTTAATAAAATTTACAACGATAGAATTATTAAATTCAAAAAATTATTCATTACCTTAAAATTATTTTATTAAATGAAATAAAAATCTTTTTACATTTGAAAACACAAAACGAAAATTCATTTTAATTTTAATGTAATATCCTCATATCCAGGTAACAGGTATAAAAGAAAAATCCTCAGAACGGGGCGGAAAACAGAATACCAATGAAACAAATACTTTAATGAACGAGAAAGAAAAGAACTCGAATTTTTTTAATTTAAGATTGCCATTGTTTCACGAACTTCATCAATCTAGACCAGCCAACCATCCTGTATTCTTATCTCAAGTTACATATCCGTCTGCGCTTCCGCCACATTTTCATAATTTACCATATTTTCCAACTTCGGAACACCATTTGCAAGGATTTTCGGCTTTCTGTAAGTATTACTTTCTTTTTTAATTAATATCATATTTAGAATAAATATCATATATTGGAGTCTTAATTATTGTGTATATTTAACATTCAAAATATCTTAAATATAACTTTAAACTAATTAATTAATATTAAATATATTATGTAAATACATAATAAATTATTTAAGTTTCTTTTCATATAAAAGACATAATAATACATTCCATAATTTGAAATTTGTTTTTGAATCATTGGTACAGAAAAATATGTTATTACTCGTACGTGAAATACAGGTAAAATCTTATAGTGAGTTTGTGGATATTTGTGAATATTTAATTTGATATTTTGATGTGACATTTTTATAATAATTCATAACATTTAAAACTATTTTTTTTTAAATTGTAATTATTACAATAAATCAATAATTATATACATATTTATTAAAAAAAAAGTACACGAACAAAATTTTATTTTCTATATTTATATTCGATTCATTTTTCCATATATAGAATTTATTTTCTTTTGACAAAAATAAAATTTTTATTTTAAGATCATAAGAAAACAGATTATTTAAATCTAGTTTTATGTTTAATTTGTATAATTATCTTAAATATTTAGATTTAAAGAAATTTTTGTGGTTTCAATATATGGAATTCATTTTCTTGTTCGCGATATTTTAATTAGAGAATATTATTATAAAAAGCTATAAACAGCTAAATATTTTTTACATGTTATTTTAATTAATTATAAATAAAACTTACAAATAATTTTTTTTCTATTTTTTATATTAGAATCATTTATTCAAATTAGTATTATTCAAAAGTAGTATTCAAAAGTATTTATTCAAAAGTAAATCTAAAAACATTCAAAATCTAAATTATTCTTAAAAATATTATTACGTGTATATAAATTAGATTGAAAATATTGATTAATTATAGGACACCTTTTATTGATTATAGCAAATCATATTTTGTACACAATTACTAATTTAAACAATATAATTATGAATTTAATATTGCTTTTCAAAATATCGTGGTACACTTTCCGAATGAGGATGTCTTTAAAAGGATTATTTGCTTATATTAATTATCCAAAGTTCAATATTTATATCAGTGCTTTCAATTCTGTAAGTGAAACGAAAAATAGATGTAAACTGATATAAATATAAAATTTAACGAAATCTAAAATATATGAAAAACAAACTATATCAATCGAAAAACTATATCAATTGAATTATGAATATATTTATGATTATAATAATATAATATAATATATAAAAATATTCATATTAAATATCATTATTAATTACTATTTAATTTTTATTACATTTAATAAATATTATGCATATACAAGTATAAAAAACATAATTCATTAATCTATAAATAAAATAAATATCTATATATATATACAATGTAAAATGTAGAAATTTATAATATGCAACATTCAAATCAGAGAATGGAGGATTAATATATATATATATACTTATGTGTTACTGGACATTGTTCAATATGTAACTATACATACTCTAATCATTTATATAAATTTATTGCATTATGTCTTGGCATATATTCTATTCAAACGAAAGGAAAATTTTATGTCAAAAATATATTTGAAGATTTAAATTGATAAATTTAGAATAAAGAAGATTCTTAAATTTCTTCTATTGTTCTCGAAGAATATAAAAAACCAAAAATTAAGGATGAGACACTCAAAATCTCTAATGTTTAAAAAATCTAAAAATTAGTCTATAAAAAATATATAGAATTAAAAATTTAAAATTATTTACTACTTTTTCGATGAAAAAATCTTAAAATACTTTCCGACATACATACTTGAGTTTGCAATACATTAAAATTTCTCCAGATTATCACATGACAAATAGAAAAAAAAGCAAAGACGGATAATCCAAATTATTCTAACTATTCTTTCTTATCTATCTATCCTTAATTTAGAGATAGAGCGTAAAATCTAGTATAAGATTTTTTGATAATCTATCAAATGATCTATCACCAGATAAATATAGTTTAAGAATTCTTTTAGTATCCGGTTCTTTTATATCCAAATTATTTGCGCATTAAATACTTCGATTAAAATAAACAATTTTATTTTCATTTTGAACTTATTTTTTACATATAAAATAATTTAATTTATTCATTTTTAATTAAAAATTTATATATTCGATATATTTTTTAAATTTAATTTTCTTGAAACGAGCATCCAAATGAAATAATTTTATTTTATTTTCCAATAATTTTTATATAAAAATAATCTCCTTTAGATTTTAGGTTTTAAAGTACCATATATTATATTCTTTAAGAAAATAGATTTGTGTATTTTACGAATACATTTGTATAGTATAATACATTCATTATCTATATTGTGCTAAATATAAATTTCTTAAAACTTAATTAATTATATCTTTTTGTTTAAAAGACATAACTAATTATTATTATATTTATTGCTACAACCATAAATATGAAATAGAAGATATTTAAATTTTAAAATATTAAAAAAAATATAATAAAGAGTGAAGATCAAGAAATCTAAAAATTAAAGAATTATTTTCGAAAAAATGAAACGTATGATTTTTTAAAGTTTAATTTTTAAAAATAAAAAATGAAATAAATTTTAAAACTTGATTTGACTTTCTCAGACTAAATTAAATGATAAACTACACAATTTTACTGACTTCACAATTTGATTAAATATATGTATACACTATATATCAAAATTTATTGCTATGTATTATTATTATTGAAAATTTATTTGACAATAATAAACAAAAATGTTTTCTCTTTCAGTTTTCATACGTTTCTTAAAATCGATATAATTTGTCGCTAATGTATATAGGTATACATATTTAAACATTTTATTCAGTTCCTGAAGCTTTTCACTGATAAGTGTTATTACAGCAACATGTACAATATAACACAATACAGGTATACGCACACGTTTGAATGGATTTATTCCGCTTCGCTACCTCGTACCGATGTTGTGATGAGATTACTGGACGCAGTTGGCCGCATTTCAATGTGAAATATACCTTGCTATATTTCTGCAAACCCAGTGTTACTCGCCTGCCCCTTAAGCCGTTGTCACGGCAAGGCAGTCCCGAATCACTATCGTGTTAAATGAAAAACAAAAAATAAAAAATAAAAAAATAAAAAATAAATAAAAACGAAAAGGGAAAATTTAAATGAAGATACAATAATCTGTGAAAATACTGAAATATAATAAAGTAAGATTTTAAAAACTTTAATCTCATTTTTTATATTTGTATTAAGAAATATTTTATGAAAAGATTATTTTATAAGGAATCTATAAATAAAAAAATAAATAGATAACGAAATTTAAATAAATTGATAAAAAAGGATACGAATATTAGAGTAAAAAGAAAAAATCAAAATTTTAACTATATTCTTAAAAAATAAACTATAAAAATACTTTAAAAAGTGTTACAAAAATATAATTATTTAATTATCTTATCATTTTTATTGAAATAAACAATATCATATGTTGTATAATAACATATTTATTATATTTTTTAACATATAAAACATCTAATAACATATAAACATCTAATAATAAGATAGCTTTTATTCTCAATATAAAGCGCAATAATATTAAATTTTTATTATTACACTTTAATTTAATATATAAAGTCTTTTTAATAGTCTTTTTATAAAATATATAAACACTTTTGTAACTATACATGGATGGTTGTAAAATATGTTTGTAAATTTTTTTTATTCTTCCATCTAGAATTTTAATTCATCAACGAAACATAAGACTTCATCGAATTTAAAAAGTTCCAAAATAAAAATCATTTTAATATTAAAATATGAATATTATGTTATTTATTATAATTTGCAATTGAAAAATCAAAATTTTTATTCTGAGCATAAAATACATTGTAATATAGATATACTTTAAAATATTATTAATATTATTTTGTTTACATTGAATAGTAGCTCGCAAGAGAAGAAAAGAAGGAAGACCACGAAGGCAAAGAACAACTTTCAGTGGTGAACAAACATTAAGATTGGAAGTTGAATATCGTAGAGGAGAATATATTTCTAGAGGACGAAGATTTGAACTTGCCACATCTTTACACCTTACAGAAACCCAGATTAAAATTTGGTTTCAAAATCGGCGCGCCAAAGACAAAAGAATAGAGAAGGCACAACTTGATCAATATTATCGGTAATTTAACATGCACTATATATCAAATTATTATTTAATTTATTTAATTGTATTATTATATTATATTAAATCGTAAACTAAAATAAATATTTACACAATTTCATTTTTTTTAAAATTTAGATATATTAAAAAAAATATAATATATTTTATATTCCCTTCTTTTCTATATTTTTTGATCTTTATATTTTATGCGACAAAGATATAGCATTTTATAAATATAATTTTTTTACAAATTTATATAATTTTTAAAAAATTATTTTTACAAAATTAATATATTTTTTTAATTTTAAATGAATTATATCATGAATTATATATAACATGATATTTCTTAATTTATAAAAGATATTTCAAGAACTGATATAATATCTATAAAAACATCTAAAATATAATATCTAAAAAACAATGAAAAACTCATTTGATTTTATTAACGAGATGTAGTGAATTTTATTCTGCCATTTTATTATTAAATAGTTGCTCAAAATGATTAATTTGCATTTCAATGCTTTGATTCTAATATAATAAATGTAATAATATTTAATATTTTTTTCAATTATAATATTTACTCGATTCTTTAGGACAGCCTGATTTGCTATACTTCAATCTATTATTATGAAAATTATTCTATTAAAAAAATAAAACTTTCTATCATTCAAATATAAGAAATGTATGAATATAAGAAAAATGATTAAGATTAGATATTAAATGTGGTACAAAGATAGATTACATAAATAGTACAAAAAATATATATATATAATATATATATAATATAATTAATATAAATAAATATATTAGAAATATTACATGTTCCAGGAATTTCGCTATTTCTAATGGAATGATAAATTTGCCAATTTATGGTAGAAATGGATTCTGTGAATTTTGTTTTTATAAAAAGACATTTGGATCTACAACTAATCATTCATGTACTTCAATGAATTCTGTTACCGGAACTTTTACGAAACAACAATGTAATAAAGGTGAAAATGATATAGATAGTACATCAAATGTACTATTTTCTGCTTGAAATTTATTAAACATCTGGAATAGGATTTGCTATATTTTATTATAGTCATTTATTTATATATCATTCATTTATATTATCTGTTTTATTATGTATATTCAATATTAAATTTTTTAGTATTAAATTTGCTAATTATTAAAAAAGAATTGTAAAAAGACTAATGACAAAGATGAAAGAAAGATTTATGAAAACAGAAAATTTAAAAAATAATAAATACTTTTAAATGACGTAAATTTGATAAATAATTAAAATATAAGTAAATATATAATAATAAAAAGTGTATAATAAAAATGCTGTAACAAATGTAAATATATATTTACTTATATTTAAGCATAATATATCAATTCAAATAATCCTTAAATATACATTAAAAAGCTCATTAAAACATGAAGTTTTTATATATTGGCAGCATATATTGCTACATATTACTAAATTATAATGTAATTGTAATTTCTGATAATAAATAATATTAAAATCGAAAAAGTGATACTAAATTTATTATTTTCCTTTAAATCAACAAAATCAAAACTTTTTCTTTATAAAATAATATTTAATATTATCATTGAGAAAATGATAAAATGATAAAATAAAATAAAGATCATTACTAATTATTAAATTATATATATATATATATATTATATATTATATATTATATATATATATAACTTATGTATATTGTATAAAATTGTAAAGCAATAAATAGATTTAATAATTAATACATTTTTATACATATTTTTAAGATTTCAAAATTCCAATATCAATTTAGCATAGATTAAAATATTTGTAACGGTTATAATTAATTAAATTTTCAAATGAAATATAAAAAAAAATATTTTATCATTATTATTAAATTATAATTATTAAATGATATGTATATTTTGTGTTTATTCATAAAATATTATCCTTACATAAAGATTTTTATTTATTCTTATATAATACAAATATAAAAAATACAAAGATGAATACAAATATGATTATCAAAATGCATTATTATACATTACATACATAACATTATATTACATTACTCTAATGAAATAAAAATATATATAGATGAAAATTGAAGAAATAAAGAAAATTTATTTTAAATAAAAAATTTATTTTTACAACTTTAACTTTTATATAAAAATTATATTTTTAAATAATTTCAATTACATAATATATATTGCCGGAATTCTAGAAACTGCAATTTATTATAACAATTATATTAATATTATTATTATAACATTCTGTAAAATATTTTCAATTTCTTACATTATGCACTTTTTGAGATCATTCAATATAACCGATTTTATTGTATACGTTACATTTTATTTAAATCTCATAAAGATTTAAAAATATAATATCAAAATACGATGAATAATTTGGAAATTTTTAAACAATTAAAAAAATTATATAAATTGAATTATAAAATAAAATTTGAATATATATATAATAATATTTGTAATAATGTAATAATTAATTGATTTTGATTATTTATTTTCCAAGGATTATTTATTTAAAAAATTATTAAGTAAAATTTTTAATTTTTAAACAGAAGTAAATACTCGTATTTAAGAATTATTATTTATTCAACATAATGTTTACAATAATAATTTCAAAAATAATTTACATATCGAAATTGACAAGAATTTAAAACTTAATAGATTACATTATCATTATTTCAATTGATAACTTACACATGATAATATACACAACCATACATATATTTTTATATTTATAAAATATAAATGTACAATATATATAAAAAGTTACGAATCCGAGAATATCAGAGAATTAATACATTCCTAAGATAAAAAGTCTTTATATATAATATATAAGTTATAGCTGATTATTATTTAAAATTATATAAAATTATATTTTTGTTTTTTAAGCATTTTTTCTTCATTGTTATTTATTACGTATATTATAACTATAAAAAATTTAAAGATTGAAAATATCCATAAAAATGTTAAACGTTCTGATTAAATTCCTTGCTTAAAAATCTAATGTAATTCTTTTATATATATTTATATACAATAATTCAAAAACTGATAATTATTTTTATAATTTCTTTATTTTGAACAGCAGCGAACGTATGAATTTAAAATAAATTTAAAGGATATATGTGAAAAATGACAACCATATATTGAAAAAGAATTTATTACATTTTTTTTTTAATATATTCAAAATTACATTTGCTGAAAATTAATGTAAATAATTAGCTTCTTATAATACATAATAATTTTTAAATAATATATTATTTAATATTTGCATTTAGAATCAGAATTAATAAATACATGTGGCTATAACAATGCCTAAATAAAATTTATTTATTTTCAGAACTTATTAAATTAGGACTTATTATTTATTTTATCTCTTAAATTATTTCAGATTTGAAAACATTATATAAATATATAATAGGCTATATACATAATTATTATTTTCAAAATAAAATAAGTTATATATTTTTACAAAGTAATACTTTTTTTAATTTAATTATATTTTAAATATAATTATAAATATAATATTTTAAATATACTATTTAATAATTAAATACTTTTTTTAATCTTAAATATAAAATAATATGAAAGTATATTTTATAAAATGTAATAAAATATATATTGATAAAAACAAAATAAAAAACGATAATATCAGTATAGTATATTTTACTAATATATAAAATATATGAAAAATTAAAATTAAAATAAATTTACAAACAATACTTAATGTTTTCATTTTAATAATGAAAAAATAAATTTACTTTTTTTTATAGCAGATTTCTAAATATATTTATGTATTATTTCTTTGTGGTATTAATTTTCATAGATTATTTTTTTTATTAATTTCTATTCTTCATTAAAATAAATATTTTAATGTATTCTTATTTATATAATATTTAATTTTTTAATAAATTTTCTTTTTATAAAAATATATACGTAAATTTGAAACTTACTAGTTGTTGATCCACGATATATTTTCTTTGTATTTTAAAAAACTATTAAATTATAAGAAATATATACATAAGAAGTATTTTTTACATTTGAAATTAATAAATAAATCGTTTTCAATAATTTCATATTACATAAGGTTTTTATAAAATTGTGATATAATCAAAAAGAAAATAAATAAATAAGTCAAAAAATTTAATATTTAATTTTTTTCATATAAAGTTTCATTTTTTAAAAAAGTTCATTGAATAGGTTTTGATAGAATCTGCTTTATAAACAATATAAAGATCAATAATATGCTAGCTTGTTCTTTATGATTTTTATAAAAAAAACTGGTTCACGAACAATTTACAATATACAAATACAATATACAATATATAAATTATATGTACATATTTTATAACAATAAATATATAAATATATAATAAGTTACTATCAACCTAATATCTTATTGATCATATTCAACAATAATGATATAAATATAAAGATAAAAAACTAATTTTGATAAATATCTTATAAGTTATTGGTAATTTGTTATAGATATCATTAATTTTAGATTTTTTTTTAATTTATTTAAAATTTTAATATTTTAATATTGAACAGGGATTTTTAAAAAGACAATTGTATTTCGAAATCTCTTCTCAAATAATTCGAGATCAATTTGTTTTCTACTTGATAATAAATTTGATTATCTGGCTTAGTAAAATATACTATACTGATAAGTATATTTTATTCATCCAATAAAAGTTAATTTTTCAATATAATGGAATTTTACCATGATTCATCAGGATATAAAAAATTTATTAAATCAATAGCAACTTCGAGATTAGATTCATTAGATCTTATTCTTTTGTGGAGCAACTTTTATTTATGAAATAAAGAAAAAAATAAAATATTTAATTTTATATTTTCAAATCATATTTAATTTCTTTTGCAATACTATTTATAAAATACCTTATATATTATTCATATATATCTATAAATTTTATAAAATTAAAAGTTAACAAAACAAGTTAAATTAAAAATTAAAATTAATAAAATGTATGATTCATTATTGTTCTAATTTTAAGAATTTATATTACTTAATAAAAAATACTTCTTGATATTTAATAGTATGATTATAAATGTTAGTAATATATACTTCTAACTTGCAATATTTTTTATAGATATATAGTGCATAATGGCTATATATCATACTTTAAATCCCACCTGCTTATAAAAAATTTATATTTATTTTATATATTTATATGAATCCTATTACCTTTTAAATTTTTTATATAATTTATTTGTTATAAAATTTACGAATCTTGAAAATATTAAAAACTAACATATCATAAATATATATATATATATTATTTTTTATGTTAAAGAAGCAATCGACTTCAACTTACCTCCTATGACGAGTGACAATGGTAGCTGTGACACGGAGCGCTCTGAGAGTACCAGCCCAAATGGTAAACCAGAAATTAATGAAAACGAAAGATAGCAGTTAATATACAAGTAAAATAAAAGTAATTACTATCTCCTGCTTACATAATTCATATTTAAGCCATAATAGATTTTTAATATTTAAACAATTATATTTTTTTTTAAATATATATTAATGTAACAAAATCATAATAAAATTTTTCTATTTTTGACATTTTATACTGGCGATAATATTTCATTGTAAATAAAATATTTAAATATAGAATAAGAAACTAAATATTAAATTTAGAAATTATTAGAAAAAATTATTTTAGTATATTATAATATAATATGTTAACTTGAAAAGGCTATATACATCCAGATGGGGTCAAAAATTTTTTTTACTTGAAATTATTATTATAAAACATGATATTTAGAATTTAAGATATTTTTACAAAATTCTATATTCCATTTAAAATGATGAAATTATGATTATAATGCAAATGCAAAATATATTACTGCTCATAAATCTTCAATTTTTAATAAAACTCTAATATTTTGAAAACATGATGAAATTTTAGACATTTTTATCATTTAAAAAAAAAATATATATATATTAATATATATTTATATAATATTAAAACAAATTAATTGTTTTAAATTACTTAA